AAGTGCTTGGACGATTACTTGAAAACCAGATCCCTTTCTTTGTTCTCGAACTTTTGCAGCACTGGAAAATGGGAATTCAACTATTACGCTTCAGAACTTTTGCAGCTCCAATCTTTTTGCAAAATGTTCTTGCAGTCTTTCAAGCAGATTGAATAAATGGTGACGATCATCAATCTCATTAGTAACAATAGTTACCACTGACTTGGAGTCACTTTCCAAGATGTGTTGAATCAGACAGATGAAGGCAATGTTGACAAAACAGAAGACGGTTCAAGGCAATCTTTTATATTTTTTGTTTGGTAGTGGAGAGGCAGGGCCAAAGCCCAGACAGACCAAAAAACAAAACAAGAAACAACCTTGGACTAGGCCCTTCCTGAGAAATTGGATATAGAACCAGGCGGATCTGTAAACAGATGCAAGCCTAGTTCAGGTAGTTTAGATATAAATTTTTTTACGAAGGGCTGCAGGCTGCTACAGTGTTTTAATTTCTTCTAAAATGGATTAATATTTCATAGGCACAAAATCAAAGCTAGCCTCATCAGATTACGAGGAAGAGAGCATGTTGGCCATGTCAAAGCTTTGTTAGATGAATAATATGTTAACGTTGATTAAGCACCGAACTTGACTTTGAATTGTCAACTTATTTGGTAAATACATCGAAAATAAACTTTTTACAAAGCGTTTTTAATAATTTACCTACATAATGGGTGCTGAACATAATTTATTTTTTAGTTTCCCAACATTTTTGTTAAATCACAAAAAAAGAAAAAAAAAGAAGGGAAAATCGGTAAAAACAACTTCCGAAGAGTCGCCACAAAGAGAGATGGTTAGTGTCATTTCGTGGTGAACACGCAATGAATTAGTGCAAGCTAGCAAAACAAAGTAGGTTTTGCTGAGATTTATTGAAATAAAAGTTGACTTATGAATTACGACAAGCAAGATTTGCTAGACAAGTAGTCTACTAGTCTTGCTGCGGGCAGCTACAACAATCACACAACACATGTGATAATTAAAGAAGAAGAAAAACACACACACAGAGATATATGTATCTTCAGGATAACAGGTTTTTTGCTTCAGTGAGGAAACTGAGTCCATCTTCCAACAGCCTGACTCCTCTAGCAGCCTTTCTCCAAGCATCTTTAGATGGAGAATCTGGAGAGCTGAAGATATCCAATAGGACTGAACTAGCTGTCTGAAGGCAATCCTCAATGCTTGGCTGCATCTCGTAGAGTTGATTTAAGTGTTTACGTAGCGCAACCTCCAGAGAAGCAGTAGTCTCACTGATTGCTGCTTCTGTTCCAGCATTTTTTCTCAAAAATAAACCTTTCTGGGTTTTCAATCCCCATGGAAGTCGATATCCATCTTCATTATAGTGGCGATTGTCTAAGAACAAAAAATCAAAAAACAAAGAGAAAAAGAAAATAGCATTTTGAGTTAATAAATTATTTTGAGTTAATATATAATACTTTAATTCAGTCCTACGTACTCTGTGTGGAAGAAATGGGAGATGATGAAAGCCAATCAGCTGGACGGTGTACTGTAACGATGGAATCGGTCCTTGGGGTGAAGGGAGAGCCTGCACTATTATTCACCTCCTCTTGTGAGGGTTCCTCATCATGTGTTCTCTGTCTTTTGAGTTCCCGGAAGTCGTTGCGGTCAGGGTCGTCGTTGCGGTCCTCTTCAGGGTCGTCGTCGCGGCTATGTCTTTTCCCCATTGAAGAGCCCTGAAATTTTTCTGTATATCTAGGCGCTGAGAGCACTTGTTGGAATATAGTATATATAGGCGCTGAGAGCACTTGTTGCAAGAAATTGAGAGATGCCACTCTCGATCTCTCCATATTCTTATTATAGTAAATTGAGGTTACATCCATAAAATTCATTTAAAATCATCTACAGTCCTGCATTTTATTTTTCTATTTAAAATACCCAATTATTTCAAATAATACCCGATGACTAGGATCCAACTAAGCAATTACCTAATATAACTTAAATTTTGATTTATTATATTTTTCGGATTCCAAAACTACCCCTATTTATAATTTAACGTGTTATGTGGGAGGTGTATTAAGCCTTGGTTCTTAAATTTATTGTTTTGATTTCCTCCCACCGAATTAGCCTGCAATTCAATCCTCTTATTGTATCAGTTTTGATTATGAATTTAATTTGCATAATGATATTTTGCATAGGGATAGTGATTTGTTGGATCCGTTTTATTTTTCTGAGAAAAGCCCTGATTTTCCTTCACGGGAGTTCTTGTTGCATCCAGGGTTCTGACGTCGACAACATTGACTGCAACAAACTATTCCGGCACCGACTACTTAAATCTTGAGTGGTCTGCCCTGCATAACACAGGTAATTTATGCATATTTAGAAACATGATTTTTTAGATAGGTGAGTTTTTTTGCTACTTTTGAAAGTTTTATAAAAGCTTTTGGGCAAAAAAAAAAAAGTTTTTAAAAAACTAGCATTTATGAATGTAGTTGGTAAATTTTGGCTATTTGTTATTATAAAAACTCTCTCACCTATCATTATTTAAGCCGTAGACAATTCATATTAGGTGACGTAAGAGTACATGTGGTCGTTAGACTCAATATGTGAACAATTCATATTATTAACGGTGCCATTGACAATGAGTATGTAATTTCCAAATTCGAAGTCAAGTTAAACTTTTTCCAAAAAAAAAATGTTAATTTTGTTGGGATAAATATTCTCACTTTGTAGATCTTGAAGAAACTGATTGATTTAATAAATCAGAAAAAAATGGAAATAAGAGATCTTGAGTTGCGAAATTAGTTATGAGATTGATTTTCCGCATTCAAGATAAAAAATTAGAGCTTCAAAATATTTGTTTGTGTGGATTGAATTTCCAGAATAAGAAATCGTGGTTTAATTAATGTATTTTTTTTGTTTACGGTTAGATAACTTTAACGTTTTTCAATAGAGTAATTTTTTACAGAAATATTTTTTGAAGTAAGTACCTAAACTACAAGTGGGATTCAGAACATGGGGAGGGGTGGATTAGGAAGGTTCAATAAGTCAACGCTCGGTGCTCAATACAACGATTGTTGGAGAGATATACAATGCAAGTCAACGAGTCGATCCTTCTTTTTTCCAGCTAAGCTAAGCATGCAGTTGTTTTGAATTTGAAGGTTGCTGATGCTGACATATGAAATAATACATCATAGCATTTCGTCATCATCTAAATCATGCCATGCCACCAGGTGTCATGTGCTAAGAGCCTATGACCCGGATGCAAACAATATTGTATTCGAGGCACCTTCTATAGTGCACCAGGTGCACCCATGCAAACAATATCGTATTTGTCGCAACTTCCGAACTATCAATTCTGATGATTCCCTTCTGCCTCGTCGGGGTCAGAATCTCAGTCAGATACAAACAAATGCATGGTTGGTATGGTATACAAATAAATTATTATGATCTGTCGATTAATCATGTGGGAACGGCAGTAGAGTCTTTGAAACATAATATTTTTACTTCAAGAAATGGGCTGCCTGCAAAGCATTACTTTAAAGGCGATATTCAGTTGCCTTGTGGTCAGCTCATCAGATATTGAAGCCCTAACAAAGTCGGTGAATACAAAAAATCTGAGAGATCATAGTGTGCTATAATATAAAATATTCAAAGTGCTAATCTCACTGACTAAGCTATTGTCGGTTAAGTCTCATATATATATATATATGCTTGATGCCTATACAAAGATGTAAGCGAAAAATCTGAAAACTACCAAGCTATCTTGTATCCCACCAAGTCTCTAAAAGCTTTGTAACTTTCTTCCTCCTTTCAAATAAAATTACCTTGTTACTCTTTTAAAAGTTTTCCTTTCTAAGTCAAGTTATTGTCCTAAACACTACCAACTATTCTCTAAACCTCTTCTCCCTTAAACCATTAGTGGTATCAGAGCTTGTTCCGATCAACCTTGGGGGTTGGTTCACTAGTCCTCCATCATGTCTACCACTAGCCAAAACTCTGTCCCTCTTCCTATTTTCACTGGAGAAAACTATGACTTCTGGAGTATTAAAATGAAGACCTATTTTATATCTCAAGATTTATGGGACTTAGTTGATAGTGACTTCAATAATCCAGAAAATCCAATCGTGGAACAGTTGAGGCAATTGAAGAAAGATCAACAAAAAGAAGCAAAGGCCTTATATGCCCTGCAACAAGCCTTGCATGATACAATTTTTCCAAGGATCATGGGAGCCACAACTGCAAGGGAAGCATGGAATACCTTAAAGGAGGAATTTCACGGCAATGCCAAGGTACATGCAGTTAAACTACAGACTTTGAGAAGAGAGTTTGATAACATTAAAATGTTAAAATGAAGGATTCTAAGACCACACAAGACTATTATGCTAAAATAAAAATAATAATTAATCAATTGAGAGCCTATGGAGAAAATATTAATGATTCAAGAATTGAAGAAAAAATACTTATAAGTCTTCCTGATAAATATGATCCTTTAGTTATTGCCATTGAACAGACAAAAGATTTAACTAGTTTGTCAGTGACAGAACTAATGGGCTCTCTTAAAGTACATGAAAAAAGACTGAGTAGGCAAAATGAAAATTCAGTAGAAAGCACCTTTCAGTCAAAGTCTCAGTAAATTAAAGAAGGGGAAAGGAAAATTGGAGAAGGTTCTTTTAAGAGAAGATTATAAAGCCAATAAGCTTTGTAACTTTCCTCCTCCATTCAAATAAAATTACCTTGTTACTCTTTCAAAAGTTTTCCTTTCCAAATCAAATTATTGTCCTATACACTACCAACTATTCTCTAAACCTCTTCTCCCTTAAACTATCAGAAATCTACTGAGATGAGTGAATCAACAGCCCAAACAGCTGAGGTAATTGATAGCTTCTCTAGCTCCTCTAAATTATATTCTGCTTTTTCATGACAGTTAAAGTTTATTTTCCGTGCAGGGCTTTACCGCTAAGCTGATGGAGAAGACTAAAGACAAGCTTGCTGTGGTGAAATCAGAGTCAGAGGACTTGAGCATCTATAGAGTTCCTAATAAACTTCGAGAGGTGAAGGCTGATGCCTACAACCCCCGCGTTGTGTCAATTGGGCCTTTTCATCGAGGCCACCATGACCTTGCAGCTATGGAAAAGCATAAATCGCTTTACATGCTACACGTTCTCCAGTACACAAAAACTCGTCAAGAGACTCACGATTGCTTGAAAGACTGCATCAAGGCTCTTTATGATTTAGACATACAGGTTCGCCGATGCTTTGAAGAAATCAAGCCCGTCGACAATCCGCTTACAGAAGTTATGTTACTAGATGGTTGCTTTATATTGGAACTTTTCCTCAGGTATGACCAACACTGCTTAAATATGAAGCAGAAATACAAAGTTGATCCAATATTCAATAATGCTTGGATGATCCCGGCACTTAGGCAGGACCTAGCATTACTTGAAAACCAGATCCCCTTCATTGTTCTCAAAAATTTGTATCAAATTATCAGGCCTAATGTTGTCAATCACTATACAGTGTATACACCACCAAACTCAGTCACTAGCCTTGCTCTTAAGTTCTTTCAACCTATGAACAATAAAGCATCAGTAAGAGAAGATAGGGACACTGACTGCAACCATTTGCTTGATCTCATACACAAATTCTATTTCCTCCCGAGTTTGGAATCTATAGTAACTAATTATCACCAGGTTCAAAATGGTGGTAATGGCCACCTCTCTATCAACCTCACAATTGATATGGCTCCGCAGAATCAAATTGTTTCAACAGTGCGAACAACTTCCCTCCCTATATCTAGACCTAATATGATCCCAGCATCATCAGCAAGCTATATTGACAAGGGATTCAGTCATGGCGCTTCAAAACTCTTAGAGTCCGGAGTCCAGTTTGAAGAAGGGTCGACCCAAGACCATTTGCTCAACATAACATTCAACAAGGGAGTAATCAAAATCCCTCCAGTTTTCACTGACGAGACAACAGATTCACTCTTCCGGAACCTGATTGCTTTTGAGCAATGCCATCTCATGAGTTCATCACATCAGATTACTTCGTATGCCATCCTCATGAAGAGTCTCATTCGTTCCAAAGAGGATATCAAACTCCTTCAGAAAAGAAAGATTTTAAATCCAAGTTGGGTAGGAGACCAATATTTGATTGATTTTGAAACTATTCTTGATCATGTTCATCCAAAGGACTTCTGCTTTGGCAAGCTGTGTGAGGACGCGAATGCTTACGGTAAGTCTTGGTTTCACTGGCACAAACACAAAGTATTTTGGATGGTGCAGTTTCGGAGACAAATAAGGTCCCTTTGTAGCACATATTTCTCTAGTCCATGGAGTATCATAGCATTCTTGGCTGCGGCTGCCATTTTCGGTCTCACTGCCACACAGACACACTACGCCATTCACCCTCGCTAATAACTTGCCGCTTTCACTTACTGTCACTGTTGGACGCAAAAGTGAATCTTCAGAATAAGGAAATGTCTTGAGAAATCCAAAGTTCATTTTATTTTCTATTACCATTTCGTTGACGTTGGAACAAATAATTTTGTATTAGATGGAGAAATAATAAATTAAAGGGCTTGTTCAATATAGGTCCTTACAATTTCTATTTCCTAGACATATACCCATTATTCTATAAATCTATGTGTAAAACCCAATTTCAAACTTAAATGACCAGTAGGATATAAGAGGTCATAGTATTCCTATGTTTTTACATCTTCGCCATCAGACTTCATATTTTATTTATAATTTATTCCAAGCATTTCATTAAGTGCCATAATTGTAATTAAAACTCCCTATTAATAGCATATCAATCAACCCATTTCTTTTGGTTGCCATTCCCTCTAACATATAGCCCCCTAAAACTGCAAACCAAAAAAAAATATATGTAAATTACATATAAAAAGGTACATTATTTAGAGAAAAAAATAGGTTCATTATACTAGGTAAATTGTTTCACTAGGTATATTATTAGAGAAAAAAATAGGTACATTATTTTGAGAGAAAAAATAGGTACGTTATTAGAGAAAAAAAAAAAAGGTTCATTATACTAGGTACATTATTAGAGAGAAAAAAATAGGTTCATTATACTAGGTAAATTATTTTACTAGGTACATTATTAGAGAAAAAAAAATAGGTACATTATTTGGAGAGAAAAAATAGGTTCATTTAAAAAAAAAATTGTTTTCATAAAACAAACAATAAAAAGATGATCAAATTATTTTTCATAAAGCAAGTAATAGGTGCTTTATTTAGAGAAAAAAAATAGGTACATTATTTAGAGAAAAAATATGTTCATTTTAAAAAAAACAATAAATAGATTATCAAATTATTTTTCAGCATAATTAAAATGTACACTATTATTCATAAAACTATAATAAAATAGATTACTAGTTGTATAATTCATAAAAGGAAAACAAAATTAATTCCTAAATTTAATATTGAATTTAAATTACTAACATGTTAAATAGATTACTAGTTGTAATTCATAAAAGGAAAACAACATTAT